TATAATATTAAGTTATTCATTTCTACTTCTTCTAATAGGTAGATTCAAAGCTTGGACGAGAAAACTTGGAAAGGAAAACTTCGAAGGATTTTATAAAATGAAAACCATAGAATACAATATGTCAACAGAATTCTGGAGATCATCACTCCAATCTTCACACATGACCGTAATTTTCTATATTCACATTTCACTATATATCACAAAATTCCACCCTTATTAACCAAACTTTGAAACAAACCATGGAACTGATTATCGACGATGGACTAGGAAATTCAGAATTTTTTTTTCAACATAATAGACCAGGAAATTCCAAAATTTCTCTTCCACTTTACTACAAGACATGGAATATTCTTCAGAATATCCGAATTCCAAAGCAGCTAACTGAATTCAACATCAAAACTGAACAGCAGTGATGGTAAGTTGAAATATAGAATTTCTTTTTTTAATGTCTTAATTCTTGCCCGAAAACCTCGCCAAACTTCCTTAAATGACTTCTTTCGACCTAAACAAATTAGTGCAACATTGTATTACTTTTTTATTTCAATTTTTTTTTATTCATTTCGGAACTTAAAAAAAAAGGTAACAGTCAGAATTATAATGAAGAGGTAATCTAATAAAGTTTCAACGAATCAAAATGACATCCCACTTCGCCAAATCCAGAAAAATTGAAACTGAAAATATATTCAAATTTCACCTAAGAATTCTAGGAAGTTAAGCTTGCCCGTTTCGATAAATCAGACTTAAAATAAGTAAGTTATAGCATCGCAAACTGGCACCCTCTTATGCCAAATAAAAATAATTTCAAATTTCTAGGAGAATTTCACGAGCTTCTAAAAGTTTTATTTACTTTTCAAGTTTAAATGGAAGTTTATATACAACAGGCCTTGGTCTAGAACAAAATTTAAGCTTTCGGCACTCGCAAAAAATTTAAATTCCTGAATGTAAAAGAAAGTTACTGAATAAATGAAAAGTATTACTCTTTATTATTTACCTAATGACTGTGTTTATTTGTTTTATTAGTGTGTTGGTGTAAGCACAGCTGAGATCGTGATGATAAGAGCCGAAGAAAAATTTGGAGCCACGAACTTTAATGGTAAGTTCTTTTTTTTATATCTACTATTTTACATTACCAAAATGTTCTTTGGTTATTCCAGGATCCATGGGGTTTATTATGTACGTACTTCGATAGTCGAATGCATTTCCAATCCTTGGTACGAATTTTTCCATTTTCCTCGTAAGGCATGGAGAAATGGGTCTTTTTGGCGTTTTGTACCTTCCATGGAAATTCACTTTTATTTTAGATTTGTAAATTGTTTAGGAAAAGTGGATTTATTTGGATTCAAATTACAGTAAGATGGCTTTCACGTTTTCGATTTTCACTTTCAGTTTAAATTTTTGTAGTTAGTTATGGTGACCACTATTTTTTTTTATAAATCAATTGCACTCCAAAAAAAATAACTTTTGATAAATGGTTCAATATCAGTCAATTAATGATCTAAAATTATTTTTTTGTACTTTTTTGTTCACTGTGCAATCCAAAAAAAAATTAACTTTTGATAAATCAGTCAATTAATAATTTTAAATTATCCTTTTCCAGTAATGAAACTTCGAAGGATTTTATAAAATGAAAACCATAGAATACAATATGTCAACAGAATTCTGGAGATCATCACTCCAATCTTCACACATGACCGTAATTTTCTATATTCACATTTCACTATATATCACAAAATTCCACCCTTATTAACCAAACTTTGAAACAAACCATGGAACTGATTATCGACGATGGACTAGGAAATTCAGAATTTTTTTTTCAACATAATAGACCAGGAAATTCCAAAATTTCTCTTCCACTTTACTACAAGACATGGAATATTCTTCAGAATATCCGAATTCCAAAGCAGCTAACTGAATTCAACATCAAAACTNTCCATTCAAAAAAAATTAGAAACTTTCACACGTTGCACTCCAAAAAGAAATTAACATTTGATTCGATAAATTGTTCAATATATCTATCAAACAGTTAATGATTTGAAATTAGTTTCAATCGATATTTGTTTAACTAAAACTTCTTTTTTATTTTTTGTTTTCTTATTCGGCCCATTATTTCATTTATAACTTTTTAATGCCTTTTATTTTTGAAATTTTACATTGACGAATTCATTTTTTGAAAAACACGTTGCTGACTATTCCAGAAAATTTTCCTTTCCTGAAATTTCCAATTTTTCCAAAATAGTGACTATCATTTTCTAATTTTTTATATACTCCTTTTTAGTAATTGACTTTTTAACGTAATTTATTTATTTCTGATTATTAACTTGCCATTACCTTCTTTATTCAAAAAAATAATTTTAAATTATCCTTTTCCAGTAACGATAAAACAGAATTCTGGAGATCATCACTCCAATCTTCACACATGACCGTAATTTTCTATATTCACATTTCACTATATATCACAAAATTCCACCCTTATTAACCAAACTTTGAAACAAACCATGGAACTGATTATCGACGATGGACTAGGAAATTCAGAATTTTTTTTTCAACATAATAGACCAGGAAATTCCAAAATTTCTCTTCCACTTTACTACAAGACATGGAATATTCTTCAGAATATCCGAATTCCAAAGCAGCTAACTGAATTCAACATCAAAACTGAACAGCAGTGATGGTAAGTTGAAATATAGAATTTCTTTTTTTAATGTCTTAATTCTTGCCCGAAAACCTCGCCAAACTTCCTTAAATGACTTCTTTCGACCTAAACAAATTAGTGCAACATTGTATTACTTTTTTATTTCAATTTTTTTTTATTCATTTCGGAACTTAAAAAAAAAGGTAACAGTCAGAATTATAATGAAGAGGTAATCTAATAAAGTTTCAACGAATCAAAATGACATCCCACTTCGCCAAATCCAGAAAAATTGAAACTGAAAATATATTCAAATTTCACCTAAGAATTCTAGGAAGTTAAGCTTGCCCGTTTCGATAAATCAGACTTAAAATAAGTAAGTTATAGCATCGCAAACTGGCACCCTCTTATGCCAAATAAAAATAATTTCAAATTTCTAGGAGAATTTCACGAGCTTCTAAAAGTTTTATTTACTTTTCAAGTTTAAATGGAAGTTTATATACAACAGGCCTTGGTCTAGAACAAAATTTAAGCTTTCGGCACTCGCAAAAAATTTAAATTCCTGAATGTAAAAGAAAGTTACTGAATAAATGAAAAGTATTACTCTTTATTATTTACCTAATGACTGTGTTTATTTGTTTTATTAGTGTGTTGGTGTAAGCACAGCTGAGATCGTGATGATAAGAGCCGAAGAAAAATTTGGAGCCACGAACTTTAATGGTAAGTTCTTTTTTTTATATCTACTATTNTCAATCGATATTTGTTTAACTAAAACTTCTTTTTTATTTTTTGTTTTCTTATTCGGCCCATTATTTCATTTATAACTTTTTAATGCCTTTTATTTTTGAAATTTTACATTGACGAATTCATTTTTTGAAAAACACGTTGCTGACTATTCCAGAAAATTTTCCTTTCCTGAAATTTCCAATTTTTCCAAAATAGTGACTATCATTTTCTAATTTTTTATATACTCCTTTTTAGTAATTGACTTTTTAACGTAATTTATTTATTTCTGATTATCAACTTGCCAATATTTATTTATTTATTAAAAAGAAAAACATTTTCAATTATCCTTTCCCAGTAATGACAATGTTTTTAACAGAATATTAATCATTAATTCTTTAATTAGTTTTACCGTTGTACTATTTTGTATTATTACGTAATATATAATGTAAATATTTTAAGGATTTTATAGTTCAGGAGAATTTAATTTATTTTAACTTAGATAATATTTATTTGAATTGTACTTACCATTCATATTGTGTAAATAGCATAGAAACTTTATTTTATGTTAGCATAGATAATTATCTAATTAATCTTATTTTTTTAGGTACATATATAATATCACTGTAATAATAAACAAGGGGAAGATGGGAACTCTTTGTGGGGAGAAAATGAACATGTGAAAGTAGTACGAATGGGAATTTGAAAGATTATGTGACAGAATGTAAGAATAGGGTGGTAAGAGTAAGTGCAAGGGTGAAAATGAAAGTTTGGAAGATTGAGAGTTCATGTACGATTGTAAGAGTGAAGATAATGTGCGATAAAGGGTGCTAATGAGAGTGTAAGGAGAGAATGAGGGTGAATTTGTATACATGGACGAGAGAAAATGTGTAAGGGTGTGGAGATGAAAGTGTAAGGATGTGGTAATAAGAGAATGTGCCAGGGTGAATGCGAGTGTTTTAGAGAATGAGAGTATGAGTGAAATAGAGTGCAATGATGTATGATATGGGGTGCGAATGACAGTGTAAGAAGAGAATGAGGGTTAAAGTGAGCATGTACGTGAATTAAGTTGTGGAAGGGTGTGAAAATTTGTGTGAAAGAATGAACGAGGGTGTAAAGACAGTGCGAGGGAGAATGAACGTATTTGTGCGTGCGCGAGAGGGAATAATCGATATTATTTCTTTCTCACACACGCACAGTATGAAAGGGGTGAACATGAAAGTGTGTGTGCACGAGTGCGTGGGATGAAGAGGGAGGTTACATCTCTTCCTCTCCTTTCCACGCAAAGTATGATAGAAGGAATGACAGAGAATGGGGTGAAAATGAACGTGTGTGTGTGTGTGTGTGTGTGTGTGTATGTATGCGTGAGAGAGAAAGGGAGGTTACATCTCTCCCTCTCTCTCTTACGCATAGTATGAAAGGAGTGTGAATGCGTGCGTGGGGAAGAGAGGGAGATTACATATCTCCCTCTCTATCCCACGCACAGTGTGAATGGGTGCGTGGGAATGAGAGGGAGATTACATATCTCCCTCTCTATCCCACGCACAGTGTGAATGGGTGCGTGGGAATGAGAGGGAGATTACATATCTCCCTCTCTATCCCACGCACAGTGTGAATGGGTGCGTGGGAATGAGAGGGAGATTACATATCTCCCTCTCTATCCCACGCACAGTGTGAATGGGTGCGTGGGAATGAGAGGGAGATTACATATCTCCCTCTCTATCCCACGCACAGTGTGAATGGGTGCGTGGGAATGAGAGGGAGATTACATATCTCCCTCTCTATCCCACGCACAGTGTGAATGGGTGCGTGGGAATGAGAGGGAGATTACATATCTCCCTCTCTATCCCACGCACAGTGTGAATGGGTGCGTGGGAATGAGAGGGAGATTACATATCTCCCTCTCTATCCCACGCACAGTGTGAATGGGTGCGTGGGAATGAGAGGGAGATTACATATCTCCCTCTCTATCCCACGCACAGTGTGAATGGGTGCGTGGGAATGAGAGGGAGATTACATATCTCCCTCTCTATCCCACGCACAGTGTGAATGGGTGCGTGGGAATGAGAGGGAGATTACATATCTCCCTCTCTANGATATTTATATTGATAAATATAAATACTATTCTTTTTAATTGTTCATAACAATTATTGCTCTTTATAATCTACATTTACATTTACATACACATTTATTTCCTTCAGAAAAGCAATAATTGTTATAACAATAATAAAGAAATCGAAGAAATATTCCCAAAGTTAGAAAAATAAAGAACAGATGAAAGTAATGTGTGTTAAGTTTTCAATCTTATAAAATAAAGTAGTTTTAAACAGAAAATGTTATTTTAGGAGAAATATTAAAGAAAAAGTAATAGTATATCTGGGAGAAATAAAAGATAATAAACAAGCACAAATAGAACCTACCTACTGCGAAGAAAAGGTGGAAATAGATGCGTATGCGTAAGTTTGATCAGATAAGATGTCTAAAAATATTAAAAATATTTATGATGGACTTGCGAAGTCGAGGGGGAATTGATGTGTGCCCTGAGAAATAGGCTACGACTGATGTGGAATTTGTGTGTGCCCACAATCAGAAGGGCACACATAAATTCCACACCAGTTTTGTAGCCTATTTCTGAGGACACACGTTAATTCGTCCTCGCGTTCGTAATTGGGTCACAATACTTTAAAGTTAAAGAAATACATGAAAAAATCAAATTCCATAATAAATCCTTAATAAAGAAAGTGTTGAATTCAATCGATTAGATGTAACAATATAAATCAATTAATTTGAAACAAACTGTGTGAAAATAAGAGTTTGGATGAGTAAGGGTGTGCATAGGTATGTGAGAGTGTAATGGGGGATGTAATTGTGTGATAAGATGTTAATCAAAGTAGAAGAAGAAAATAAGGGTCAAAGTTAGAAAAAAATGTATACATGTGCATAATACAATATGTTAGCCTGAACATGAATGTATAAGGGTGATAAGAATGTGCAAGGGTGAAATGGGAGTTTGGCNGCGGACAATTTTTAATAAGTAAATATTTCTGCATAAAATAGAAAATACCGACAACTCCCTCTATACAAATAACTGTTGACGCAAATCACTTTATTTCTTCACAGCTTTACTTTTTTAATCTTTTAAAGTGTTCACTCCAAACAGAGCTATTAGAATAATGGTTTCCCTACTACATAGGGAAATACAA